CCTGCCCCGAGTGCGGCCGCCGCTTCAGCCAGAAGCCCAACTTGACGCGGCACCGGCGCAACCACACGGGCGAGCGGCCCTACCTGTGCTCCGCCTGCGGCCGCGGCTTCCGCCAGAAGCAGCACCTGCTCAAGCACCTGCGCGTCCACCGCGGAGCGCCGGCGCCCAGCCCCAAGGACGAGGCGCGTTAGTGGGCCCAGACCCGCGCAGACCCTGGCGGCAGGCCATGTGTGTGCGCGCTGGGGTGAGTGTGGGGGACGGGGACAGCCAGGAATGATGGCCCTTAGATGCCGCTCTGCCCACCCCAACTTGAGACCCTATCAAAAGGTTTCCTTAAGGATCTGAATTCCAGAAGAAGCCTGAATTGGGGTGCCTGGAAAGGTCCCAGGGTGCTGAGGACCGAGGGAGAAGGTAAGATGAAACACCGCTCCCGGAGAGAGCCTGGACGTGGGGGTGATGGGCTGGAGGCCGGCAGTACCCCTCTTCAGAGTGGGACCTGGGCCTCAGGCACCGACGAGGGAGCTGTGGGACCCTGGAGGGCTCCCTGGTGTGAAATGGCTCAGGTCAGGACTGGTCGGTTGTAGCTCCTGCGCGTCTCGTGCAGGCTGCAAGCTGGCCCAGGGCAGTCCTGGGAGAATCCACAGACTCAGGGATGCCAGGATGGAACCCAGAGCGCTGTGGCTGGGGAGAAGCAAGCCTACCGAGGACAGTGCCGGCGCTCAGTGGCCACTCAATAAATCGTTTTGGAAGGAGTATACGGCTCCGTGGTCCTTTTCCAACTCCGAGTGGCCCAAGGCCCAGGGCGCTGTGCATGGCCCGCCTGACCCCAGAACCTGCAAGTGTGTGAAGGTCAGGGCTGGGACAGGCATGGGCGATCTCAGCTGACGGGGTTGTTCCCACCAACCTGAGCGCACAGCTCTGAGGACCAGCAACCATCTAAACCAGAAGGGTTTTCCTGGGCACCCTCTCCCACCTGCTGGGGAGGTGGCTGCAGCAGGAGAGCCTTCTCTCCCTCTGCGGCTGGGGGTGCAGAAGCTGGCTGGCTGATGACCTGGTGTTGAGAAGAGGAAAAGGAGGATGAGTGTTCCTTTCGGTCTCTCCGCCCTTTCTGAGCCTCCCTTGCCTCAGCCCAGGTCTGGGTGTGCTCTGAGGGACCCACCGCCCCTTCATGGCCAGGAGCACAGCAGCTCCTCACTCTCGCTTCTGGCCTGTTAGAGAGCAGCATCGTCCTCCCCTCTCCCTCAAGTCAACTTACTGTCTCTCCCCACATGCCCCCTGGACCTCCAGCCCCGTGGTCTCCCCTGCGCTCTTGCAAAGCAGGGCTGGTGTCACCACAAGTGTCCAGGGCTCTAGTCCAAATGGTAACCTTGGGCGGTCCCTTCCCAGAGGAAGGGAAGGACTTGCAGAGGGGGAGCTGGGTGATGGGATGCCAGTGTTCAGTGGCTGGGAGTGGGAGGGAGGGAGAGAGCCCTCGGTGCGGTTCTGGGGAGGGAGAACTTGCCTGCCAGCCTTTCTGGCCTGGTTTATTCCTGGGCATGGAGAGGTGCTACCTCCTCTGGGAGCTATTGAGGTTCAGCCTGCCTTCCGGTCACTCTGCTCAGATCTTGTTTAATCCTCTTCATCCAGCAAAGGCTCTGGTTCTTGTAGCATTGCAAAAAGACACGTGGGATGGGGAGGATGGGGGAATGCCTGGGCCGATTCAGCATGCCCAGGTGACAGTGAAATAGGAGTTAGCACCCAGCCAGGGCTGCTGCCTCAAGTCCTGCTCTAGTTCTTTGATCACCGTGTGGTGTGAGATCTCACACTGGGGGAGGTGTGCAGAATCTACCACCATCTGAGTGCTCAGCTCCGAGACCAGCTGGCATCTAAACCAGGAGTGTTTTCCTGGGCATCCTCTTATCCCATGAGCCCTAGTGCTCCCTGGCTCCCTCTAACAGGCTGCTCCCTCCTGTAGCTTCCCTCCCAGCCAGCAAGGGAGTGTGGAGCACCCTGCATCTCATCAAAACCTTTCTTCATTTTATTCTTTTTTTTTTTTTTTAATTTTCAGAGGGTGCATGCACTTGTCAGGGAAGAGTTGGGGTGGGGGACAGAAAGCACCCTCTAGTAGGCATGGTCATGCTGCAGTCCCTTTCTTCCACTTCTCCTTCCCACCAGGATTTGGGACACACACTCATGCACCTCCCATATTTTTCAAGCTACAGGGGCTGGGATTTGAACCATGGTTAGCCATGTGGGATCTAGCTTCCAATGTATAGTGCTTAACCACTATACTATGTGGCCAGCCCCAAACCTACTTTATTTTTTTAAAAGTTCTTTCTAAGAGAGGCCACAAATAGGGTCTTCATGCCACAGTCCAGCCTCAGCAAGCCAGCAGGTTCAGGCAGTCTTCAGGACATGAAACCGGGACCTCCCGTATGGCTTCTGCGTTGCAGAGTGTTGCATTACTGCCTCACCGCTGTGGCTGGCCCCAGCTGGCTTTAACCATGGGGGAGACTCGGGCTATTTACTTCTCTTTGCCATGTCACAAGTCCTGAAACCAACTTGAGCTAGCCCATCTGCTCCAGGAAGGCACCTCTGAGCACCACCCCCTGTTCCTGGGGTTAGAGGGCCTCTGTCTGCAAGGACAGACCTGCACACACTGGGTGAGTCCTGCAGAACCAGGCGCTGAGGGCAGCGCGGGCATACTGCGATCAGCCTGCGGAGCGTCTACCACGGAGTTTATCTCCCATAGACGGCCCATATGGCATGGGTGAAGCGAACACACTGCTATGTTGGCAGGACTCGGGGTGGTGAGGCCTAATTGCAGCTTTCACCCCATGCAGACTCATGAGAACATGTCCACTGACCACAGTTAGACCCGCTTCTCACAAATGGGTGCTTTGGATCACAAGAGGGACAGAGCCAAACCCCTCAGAACAAAGGGTCACTCTGCTGTGTGCTCCGTTGACCCCGTCAGCAGACTGCACAGCACCGGCTCCCCCAACAAGCCTACTGTGTGCCAGGCATCCTACTGGCCTTCTGCAGCGAACTGGACATGGTCCCCATTCTCAAGGAGCTCAGAGACCTCCAGGGAAACTCATTTTGATACTCACTGGCTAGGAACGACTTAATGGGCGTTCCCCATTGAGGGGAACAAACCGCCCCAGCCCTAGCTCTTAGCGAACCTTTCTTATTCCTTATCTTATTTAGTATCCGCAGGAGTCAGTGATGTGGACAGGGCAGTGACCCTGCCATTTGACGCATGGCGAGGGGCCTGGGGTAATGTGACTTGTCCACCACGTCCTTTCTTATTTATTTATTTATGGAGAGCTGTCTGCTATAGGGCACATGTGCTCACCAGAAAGAGAGACAGAAAGTGAGAAATCACTCACGGGGGAATGACCTCCCGCAATCACTTCTCCATTCTCCTCTCGGAATCTTGGGCACGCACGCACACACGCCTGGCGTGAGTTTAAGCCCCCGGGTCCGGGACTTGAACCATGGTTGGCCACATGGGAGTCCAGCAACATAGCCATTATGCCAACTGCTCTGCACCATATCCTTTTGCAAATTGGTGGCAGGTCCCAGGTGCACTACTTCCGCTGTCACAATCACAGGCTTTTTCATGTGGCGTCAGCTTCAATTTTCACTCCCTTTCATTTAAAAATGATAAAACTAGGTCAGAGAATATTTAGGAAAAGGCATGTCATAAAATCAAAGACAAGAAGATCAGACTTGTTACCCTAGTGGGTTACAATCCAAAATACTCTGGAGCTTGCTGAGATGAAGGGCTTGCATAGAGGACCCCCCCCCCAAAAAAAAAGCCACGAGTAAATAAGATCTCAAAGGATGTCCACTGCCAGGTAAGTGTGGGTTCCTGTGGGGGCTTTGGCCAGCTTATAGCAGGCCAAGGGAGCATGCGGGAGCTGGGCTGGGAACTGCCTGCATCGGCAGAAGCTGAGAAGAATGACTCCAAAACTTGGACAAGGGTCATGTTTTGCAAGCAACTTGTCTTCAGCCGGAAGGGCGATTGGCTCCTTGGGAGGGCTCAGTGCTCCGTGTGCTGCTGGGCTCAGCCGCCGTGGAGCTGCCGTAGGAGGGCAGGGTGCAGAGGCCAGAGGAGCCGCTGTTAGAGGCATCGGGCACTGACGAGGGAGGGGGCAGGCTCAGCGGGACGTGGCAGAGGGACCAGTGGGAGTGGGGCCTGCTTCTGCCACATGAGAGTCTAGCGACATAACCATAAGCCGTCTGCTGGTGATGTGAGTTTGGCAAAGACTGACCTTTGACCTTCCAGACTGGAAATAGTACATTATCACATGGCACTGTCGTCATGGATGATGGCAAAGAAGAGGAAATGGTATCCTCTGGGCTGAAAAGAAAAGGGTATCTGTTAGTTACTTGGGTTTGCAGGGAGGTGTCTTTGACCAGCACTCCTGATCCAGCCCCGTGGCCTAGTGTTAAAGGAGCCAGATCCCACATGGCTGACCACGTGGTTCAAATCCCAGCCCCAGTGTATGCACACACCCAAACAAAATCCTAACAGGATGGAGAAATGAGGGGTGCATCTCTGTCTCTCTCTCTTTGCTTCTCTCTGGTAAGCACATACCTCTTATCAAAAAAAAAAATGCGTCTGGGGAACTGACTTCTGACTTTGATGTTAGATAATTTAAATAGCCATACGTGTCTATGAGGGAGCCCTTGGGTGGTGTTCCTATTAACAAGAAGCTAGAGACATCGTCTCTTCCTGCTCACCTCCTCTCCTCTCCCCGTTCTCCACTCCCCAAATAGACCTTTGGTATTTTGCTGGAAACAGTGGGAGAGTCAGAGAGTTCTGGGGTTAGGTTCTGGCTTTGCCATTTAAATCGTAGGACTTTGGGCAAGTAACCTACGTAAAGTATATAGTATAGTGCCTGGCACACAGGACGCACTTGATGAATGGTAGCTATTACTGTTATTTTTAAAATTAATTTTATTATTATTTTTAATTTCCTATAAGGCACATGCACTTACCAGAGAAAGACAGAGAGCAGGACAGGGAGAGAGAGAGAGAGAGAGACAGACAGACAGAGTGAGAGAAAGAGAAAGCAAACCACCGGGTCCAGGACTCAATCCATGGTCAAGGACTGCTCGGCAAGACGAACACCTGAGGGAGGGCAGAGACTTAGAAACAAGACACACAAACACACAAGTAGAGAAAAGTGAGGACTGGTGGTTCGGGCGTCTCTGACGGAGACTCTCAGCCCTGAGCCACTCCCAGGTTTATTCTTTAACAGGGCGAAAAGGGTGGGTACAGGACGCGCAGCCGGATGCCTTACCGAATGTAAGCAGGTGCTGTGGACACCCCGTGTCTTGAGTTCTAGCCTCCTCTGTGAACCCCGGCCCAGTCTGGCTGATACACAGTTTCTCTCTGCCTCTGCTGGCCTTGCCAGGCAGGCACCAGTCGTGGGAAACTGCCTTTACTCATTTCTAAAGACTGCCATTGTTCTACCTGGATCCAGCCGCTCCCTATAGGAGTCCAGAGCCTTACCCACTATGCCACCTGCTGGCCCTATTATCGTTATTTTAATAAACTTCCTGTGGGGCTACTTGCAGGGCAGGGCATTTGTGCCTATGGAAAGAAAGGAGTTTTCCCATCTTTGGCTCAGCCCGGTAAAGAATTAGCCCTCCCTGTCGTCAGGTAGGCCTGCCGCAAGTTTAAGGTTTAGGCTGAATTGATGTCGTCACATTCTAGTTTTAATTTCAAGGACAGAGGACTTAGGGGCAGATGCAACCTTGCACCCAGAGCTCCACATCCTCGCCCGGATCTCGGAGTTCTTCCCAGCCCTCAAAGCTGCGGCTGGGCCATAGTGTTGCCTGCCCCTCCTGGTTCTCCACATTGCCTCAGCACGCTGGCTGGCCTCGGGACCAGCTGCCCAAGCTCTCAGACGCAGCTTGCAGACAAGCCTCATTAATTCAGCAGACCCTCACTGAGGGCCTCTTACCTGCTGGACACCTGGGATGCAGATGCTGAAAAACAATCCCTGCCTTTGTGGTTGCTAACGCGGTAGGGAAAATAAGAGTGCTAATTCCAGATCTGAAGCTCAGGAGGGACATATATGGGACCACTGTCCTTTCTCTGGAGGTGGGATGAGCTTGTCATGGGGGGGGGGCGGTCAACCTGAAACACTCAGGGTGTCTGTGCAAACGCCCAAGATCCTGCAGAGCTGGAGGACTGGGGAAGTGGGACGGGGCCCTGTCGGGGTGCCTGCCTCTCAATCTCATGCACATGCGTGTGTTAGTGAATAGAAAGGGGGTAGCCCAGCTGGGTGCAGAAGCCCTGGAGATGCAGTCTGAGCAGGAGAGCCGGACGATGGCAAGGCAGCAGCTGGAGCTGCCCAGGGAAGGCCGTGGGTGACCTGTCCACCTGGCGAGCCCCAGGGTGAGTACAGGGCAGGGTCCTGGACAGGCTGGCTGTGCTAGGCTCCCTACTCACGCAGAGCTGGGCCAGGGTTCTCCAGGTGTCTTGGTTGTGGGCAGCCTAGGCCTTTGCTAGGGTCCAGAGTGCAGCTGCTACCTGGGCCTTAAAGGATGGTGGTGACTATGTCAGCCACTGCCCTGCCGGTTGGGAGAAGCATGGCGGGTGTGCAGGTATTTCCCCTTTGCTGTCCTACTGTGGTCAGCGTAGCACGTGAGAATGGGGCGGGGGGGCAGTGGAAGGAGATGAGTGGGGGAAATGAGTGGAGGTGTATGTATATGAAACAGGGGTGACCCAGCTGCAATCCCACAGTGGCAGAGCAGAGAATGTCCTCAGCCCTGGGCATTCCCCACGAGATGCAGGATGGGCCTCAGGTGGTATGTCTGTCCCCTTCGCCCCCTCCCAGCGGTGTTCTCTGCCTTTCTATTTCAGCGCAGTTTACCTAGAAAATGCTGCTAAAAATATGAGCGACATCCTGAGGTGTGTTACTGGTTTTGCTTCTGAAAAACCTGGTCTTGACAGTGTTCCCATTTCTCTTGAGGCCCGTAGGAGAGATCTGAAGGTCGTCCTGGCAGGTGTAACTTTGGTGACAGGAAGTGGAGAGCGAGAAAGTGTGGTTTTCCTGCGCGTGGAGGGACAGCAGTGGTCAGGACGGCTTGCCATCAAAGCCACGGGAACACTAAATATAGCCCTGGGCAAACTCTACCCTGGTGGGTTCATATTCCATATGTGTTTAGTTTCTTTCTATTCACTAACACACGCATGTGCATGAGATCGAGAGGCAGGCACCTCGACAGGGCCCCGCCCCGCTTCCACAGTCCTCCAGCTCTGCAGGATCTTGGGCGTTCGTGCAGTGTTTCAGGTTGACCGGGGAGGGCACAGGGTCAGAACCTGGGGTGAGCCGCGTGGTTCCAGCACTACAGCTCAGTACCTGCCCGTGCACCACCAGGTGGAGCCTTGGCCCAGTCCTTTGGCTTCCTGGGGTTCTCACCCTTTGCCTCTGTTCAAAACACCAACCTCTCAGATGCCTGACTCTTAGAGTCCCTCATCCCTCAGTGAGGTGCTGCAGGTGCAGCAGGGAAGGTGGGGGAGTGGGCTGAGGGCGAGCCTGCTGGGACAAGCTGGGCCCCAGCATGGGCTGTGGAAACAGGCAAGCTGACCTCCAGGTCTGGTGTCAGGAATAAGGAGCTGATTTTATTTCCTAGTGCCCCACCCTGGGATTACTTAGTTCCCAGGCTCTGGGAGACACCCCGGGTACCTGCAGGGTGACCCTCATGAGATGGAAAGGCCTGTCTCCCAAAGCTCATCATCAGGGCTAGCTGGACCTCAACAGCCACATCCACCCTCTGCTGTAAGGAGCCTTGCAGGGGGCCCTCAGGTAATCCCAGCTACTCCTGCTACCTGGCAGGGATAGAGGCCCAGAGAAAAGGCCCTGATGTTCCTCCAACACTCGCAAGCTTCTTTCTTTCTTCCTTTCTTTCTTAAGAATTATTTTACTTAATTTTATCTATTCATTCACTTATTTAAATTTGACCAGAGAGACACACAGAGAGAGAAAGCAAGCCACCAGGTTCGGGACTCGAACCATGGTCAGGCATGTGGGAGTGCCCAGAGTCTTAACCACCATGCCACCTCCTCCCAAGCTTCTTTGTTTGCTTGTTTGTTTTTTTTTAATTGCTGGAGGGCTTATGCACTTCCCAGAGAGAGACAGGGAGGGAGAGGGAGAGGAAGGAGAAAGCACCCTCATTTCTCCGTTTCTCCATCCTGTCGGGATTTGGGCACACACGCTTGTTTTGCAAGCCAAGGGGTGGGATCCTGCTCTCCTACCCCGGTCCTCACAGCCAGCCAGTGAGCGCTCCTAGCTGCTACAATCGTGTTCTCTCTCAGGCCTCCATTTCCTCGTCCCCACTCAGGCCTTGTCATCACACCCTGTTTCCCCCCAGGGGGCACAGTGGGGAGCAAGCTGGGTCCCACGCTGTGTTCCTGTCTGGGCTCTGCGGCTTAGAGCTGTGGCCTCAGGGGAAGCCACTCTGTTTCAACTTTCTTTTCCCATCTATAAAATGGGATAATAACACCGCACAACCTAGACCGTACACGGTTATTGGACAGTTCCCACGCACGATAATGTGTGGGCCAGGGCTTCGGTTGGTCCTGGTGAGGGGTATCATTAAACAGCGGTGGCAACTGGAATTCGGCCTCACACCAGCCGCTTCTCTGGGTGTTGTAAGCCACTCTCATGGGACATCTTCGGCTCTTCCATGGTGGACTCAGCTCAAAAGGGGGGAGAGGAAGGGCAGCATTTCTTCTTCTGTCCCTTGGGGTCATTCCAATGACAGCCTAGGCTCACAGTAGGGTGGGCTCAGGCCATACTGTCAGTCAGCCCAGACGATTCCGCTCAGTGACCCCGTGTCCCACCCGTGAAACCATGTCAGAGAAGCCCCGCCGCGGGGCTCCGGCTTTCACCGCGCCCGGGGCCCAGAGTCCTAGTCGCAGTTGGCAGTTTGTGGGCCTGGCGAGGCAGTTCCATCCAGCCTGGGGAACAGGCAGGAGTGAGGGAGATGTGGCTGACGCTCTAACTGCCGACTTCGGGCCCAGGGGAATCCCGAAAGGGAAGGTCTGGGGCGGGGGCCGGGG